TGTCTGTTTGCATGACACATGTCATACTACGGTGTGACACCGATCAGATTGTTTGACACGTGTCACTACAAAAAGGAAGGCAGTGAAATTATTTGTTAGTTACACTTGTAATGGAGTCATGACAAGTGTCTACTCGGAGGAAAAAAATGTCATGCTATGGTGTGACACGTGTCACTACAAGAAGAAAGGTAGTGAAATTATTTGTTATTTACACATTGATCCTTCAGACTTGAGTAAACTATATTCAGGTTATTTATTTATTTATTGTCACTGCCATTTCTAGTACACCTTGTACAAAGAACACACTAGGCTCACTCTATGTCACTCTAATACTAATTGTTGCTCCCCGAATTTGGCAGGCTTGAAGCAGAATTTAGACTTATCCAATAACTTTTGAATCTGATTTGTATGCTTATATAGGCCGTTACCCATTATACTCTAATGGACTAAAATGTCATTAGCACTTTGATGTTAAGATGGAAATTACTTATTAACGACACGTTTGTCGCTTCAAAATTTTGAAAATCATAGGAGCGTAGTATGGAAAAATTTTCAGGTTATATAGGCAATAACGTACTCCATTATCTCAATACTACATTTATGTATCTTTGCTAAGATAATTTTGACATTTAGCTAGTTTCGCTATAGAGGATAATTTCTGTTATTTTGATACTTTAGTCCAAATTATGAGAGAATTTATTTTTTAAATATTAGGAGAATAATGTATTTTTTTTTTTTTACACTGGTAGAGGAGACAACTAAACAAATTAAATGTATTCCCACTGCTAGGAAAACCAAATGAATAGCAAAACTTCCAAATGAAAATAAAACTGGGATACTATGTGAAATTGTCGAACAGGTATACTTTTTTTTGTACTTATAATTGCAATGACCACAGGATCAATAGTATCTTTTTTTTTTTTTTTTTTTTTAAGTAGGAGAACAGTAGAATTTAAGAAGTGGGAAGAAAAAAGAGAAATTTAAATTCAGAACTTTTATATTTTGAAATCTCAATTTTAACCACTAAACCATGCATGTCCCTCTGAGCATGCATCCAGCTAAAGCTTTTGTTTGGTATTTTCACGTCGAAGGCCACATTGGAGTTAATAATTTTAGCTGACGATCCACAGGTAGGAGCCAGTCCAAAAAATCTCAAGTGATTAATAATTGGAACAAGAAATTCTCAATTTGAAATATATTTATGTTATTGGGTACAACTCTGCGTGAAAAATTTTGATTTATCGTATGACTCATTTGCTTTTGCCAAAAGGATAATGGACTCAATCAGACTATTTTTGTTCAATCAATTTAAAACACAAAGAACATTGACCATCTTATCTTTAAAAGGGATTAAAACAAAGGGCCTCAAGTAATGAGTAAACAAAAAGGATCACTATATTACATCATCTGGCATATTATATACTCTTTGAAGGTTGAATAACACGCAGACATGCACTGGCCTGACCAATTCCACTGACCATAATTTACTTAATTAAACTTTAACGGGAGATTAATTTCGAACTTTAACCTTTTGTCGTTCTGCGATAAAGACCAGAGCCTAATTTCTAATTGCATTTTGGTCCTGTATTCGATAACTAACTACATTACTTATTGAACTCTACTTCTGCTTTGACTTAATAATAATTTGGCGAAGTTTACTATTGAACTCTAGTGCTAGTTACATGGTTTTTCTTCAGTAATTATTTTAATCTCCTTTTCGAACCTTGAGCTTAACATTTAATAAGTATAGACGGTTGTGGAAGAATTTGATTAGTAAGTTTCGTTGCAATGAGATCTTCAACATTGAAAATTGCTTGTCAAACATGGTTCAAAGTCGCAGTCACGATCGCGATCATAGTCCGAACAGTTTTACATTGGTCTTGGCATATCGGTGACGGTTCCGCGAGATGCAAATTTTTGTAACATTTAATATTCTAAAAGTTGTGAATAATATAACAAAATATGATAAATAAAAATAATGAAAATTTGGCTGACTCGGGATGATTCAGTCGTTTCTATCCGTTTCGAAGATATCTCAGCCGACTTCTCGACGATCTATTACTTCGGAATCATTTCGTCCTGATATTGTATTGGAGAACTCCGGATGACAACTTGGCTGAGTCTTTGAACCATGTTGTCAAACAAAGGCCCCATAATAGGTCTATTCATACAAGGACAATAAAACATGAAAAACGAAATTGTTTCCCTTGTTTATTTCGTATCAATAAAGCTTGGATGATGTAACTTTCTTGGATGAGTCCAAAGAACTCTTGTGTCAAGGCCTATGCTCATCTCTAAATAGATTTTTCATGTTTATCACCTTTTATCGTCTGTTTGTTTTGTAAAGATCCCCATTTCTCAAAATTTGATCCTTACTATTTTTATTCTCAGAGATTTGGAGGAAGGTCCTTAGTCTCAGGCCCTTGGCCCAACCTTTTGATTAAGACTGCAATTGGGGAATGGTTAGCATACCAATTTCTGGTTTGACCACTGGCTTCTAATTGGCCCATTGTTCTTGAAATTCTCTAGAAATTTGCTGCATTGTTTTGGCTGTATATAGATGATCAGATAGCTAAGTGTATGACTAATGTTAACTGGAAATGGCCTAAAGGCAGGAAGAAAACTAGTGAAGTCCAGATGCTTATGCAAGAAACACCTAGTGTGTTTTTTCCACTTGTTGATCATGATGATCAAGCTCACTGGACTTCTGCAATGCAGGCTCTGAGACAACAAGGGACTGAAGTCTATTTGTACAAGCTTGTCTAGGGTAAACTTAATATTTCACGATTTGCTTTCATAATTGGGGAGTAGACGTGAATTCGGAATTGTGTATGCTGCATAATGAAGTCGATGAACGCAAAGAGATTGTAGAGTTTTTCAACAGATCTGGCAGAAGGTACAAACTCTGCGTTTTAGGGAAAATATGCTTCGAGGATGAATTGCATGGGTGGCTCATCGTTGGTCTGGCAATTCCTTTGTTCATCAATTTAAGAGACTTGTGTTCTCTGTAATGATTAACTCTGTGTAATGCTGCATTTTTTAGAGCTTAGGCAACTTCAGCTGTCAGTATTACAATGACCATTGTGAATGAAGAAGAACATGTAGTGGGAACTTGGTAAGATTCCACATGCATAGGAAATTAGCCTTGGCATGAGGCCTGTCCTAAAAGTGCTTCTGTTTAGCCAGTCTTGTGTATAGTTTAGATTCTCCTTTGTACTCTTTTTTTTTTTTTTTTTTTTGTCGTAAGAATAATATTTGTATAACCTACTCTAATTTAATCTAAGAGAAGAAGGAGTTGACGGAATTTTTCCGTCGAAAAAAGTCACAATTAAATGGCAAAATGGAAGGTCAAGATTGACTTCCCATTCCACCAAAAATGGCAAAAAGTCACAATTAAATGGCAAAATGGAAGGTCAAGAGGCTGTTGGCAGATTCTCTTTTGTAACTTTTTTTTTTTTGGTCAAACAATTACACATAAGTTAGATTAAAATTAGCTGAAACATTCTGAGGTTGAACCTAAGAGGACCACAAGAAACATCCATCCATCCAGCCAATTGATGACAGGAAGGTACTCTTGTCGAGATTCTCCTTTGTACTTGAGTGTCCAAAAACTTGTAGTGTCAGAAGAGTCACTTTGGTTGGTTATTGCAGGGAATGGAGCACTTGCATTTGGCGCATGGCCTATTATAGGGCATGAAGTTTTTCAAAAACTGTTCTTTCTGATGATGACAATTAATATAAAGTAAGGGATTGGGTTTACCCTAGAAGCAATACAACATTGTTGCTTATCTGAAGCAGAAACCAATGTATTCAGATTGAAATTTCGTAAATAAAAGATCTACCAACCCCACGCGTAACCCTAAAAATAGTTTATGTCATGGTACGTACTAGACCTCAAATGATTTTGAAGCTTTCTTTTGTACACTAACTAGAATTGTAGTTCCTGAGCAGAATTCCTAAACAATGAACTTTTGGCTCGATCTTTTATTTATTTATTTTTTTTTGGAACATTATTCATAGTTATTAAATCCTATCAAACTCGACGATTAAACCTATCAACTCGATAAATTAACCATTTAACCTCGGGTAAGACCTTAGACCAAATAACAGAGGAACTCATTGACCAGACAATTATTTATGAATTTAATAGATAAACTCCAGAAAATTGGTTGGTTCAAATAATTATATTATTCTTACTTATTTAAATATAGTGTTTTATTATATTATAGTTGCATCGTTTGAAACTTGAGCTTGAACCATTGGTCCGTTGAATTGGTAACCTTATCGGGGTCATATTATTTGTTACACACACATATACATGTATACATACATACATGCATATATATATATATATATATATATATTTTCCAGCATTATTCAGTGTATAGTTATTGTAGTTTTTTTTTTTTCATCTTTTTGTCCTATCTCGTATTAATATATCTACTCTGATCGATGTTAGGTGTAGAAAAAGGGATTGAATTGTTCGGATATTCGTGCAAGAACATGGGATGGTTGGGGGCAGCGTGAAACGTTTTATTAATACTTGCATTGTGGGATCCTTAACATGCAAGTTAGTATGTTACCACAGCCATCCACTCAAAGAATTTGCTCGGTGTCGAAAGACAACACAACGTGGCCAAGCCACCAAACACCACAAGACACCCAACAATCCCGTATGAATGAATATATATATTGAAAAAGCAAAATTCTTCAGAGAAGAAAATTTTATGTTTGTCACGTACAACTGGCACATACACGAATGACAAGGAATCATGTGCACTCTTGACCATTCTTCTTCAACGACGTAACATTTCTTGGATGAATTGGATTTTGCTGGATGAATGAACGAGGTTCAATTATCTTTAAGGAAAAAGACGATTTAATATTATTGTCTAAAAAGACAATTGAATGAGCCAAGAACTGATGTTTTGTGTTTGTCTCTACTCTACAATTAGAGATCAAAATCGAGATGTGCAGAAATTTTGAACAAGCAAGAACTACTAGCCAATAAACATAAACATAGCACAAGAGCTATCGCAACAGGAGAGCCAAGTGTTTAATTAATGGAAATACTGTTAGAAAGCTGATCTTCTGCAGTCTAATTAAGATTTCATTGCACTTAATCTAACTCAAGAAGTTACAGTGCTTATTAATCAGAATTTCTCCTGATTAAAGAACATATTTATTTTGTTTGGATGAACAGAAAACCTACCGACCAATATGAGCAATGAAAGAATCCATCTCCAAGCGACTAGTACCGCCTTCCATAACAGAATCCTTTACTGCTTTGCTCAATTCTTTTGCCCTTTGCCTCATCTCTTCTCCTTCAGCTGAATCCATCAATCTTCTCACAGCATTTTCAACAGCCATGGATGTCTCAAGTTCGTCTTGCCGAGACCAATCCCTTACCGACAGACCAATTTTCAGCACCTTTTCCAGTAGTATTGCGTTTCTGTACTGGTCAGTATGCATAGGCCATGCCGCCACCGGCACTCCCATGCTAATGCTCTCCATACACGAGTTCCATCCGCAGTGGCTCATGAATCCACCTGTTGATGAATGTCCAAGAATCTCCAGTTGGGGTGCCCAATCCCTCATAATTATTCCTCTTCCTTCAGTTCTTTCTTCGAATCCTCCGGGCAACTGAACTCTCCTAACTTCTCCCTTGAAGACATCTCCTTGATCTCCATCCTTCAGTATCCATATGAACTTTTGCCCGCTTTTCTCTAATCCAATCGCGATCTGCGTGGCTTCCTCGTCCGATACTGAAGTATTCGAACCAAAGCAAACAAAAATGACCCAGTTTGGGCCTTGTTTGTCTAGCCACTCCAGGCAATAGTGTCTCTGTCCCGTGTTTTTCTGCTCATTGATCTCAACTGGGTTGAAGGGACCAACAGCCCATTGCTTGTGGGAATCGGCAGCACTGGCTTTTGCAAGAAGATCAAGGTATGGACCCTCTATAAACCTGCATGTGTTGTACAGATCGCCCCCAGAGCTAATTGGCTTGGATTCATTTTGCAATTTTATGAAATCTTTCAACTCTTGAGGTAAAGAACTTGCATGTGATGGAAGATTTTCGAGTGCTTCAAGTATTTCAGGCTCGAGTACTCTAGGTTTCCCTATTTTTTCCCAAGAATATGCGTACGCGGTGAAGGCTGAGACGCTCATAAAGCTATAGGACTCTGCATTGGGAATTAAATCAACATCCTGGATGACATATGGCGTAACGGAGTCATAAATAACCACCAATCTTCTCGTTGTGCTAGAAAGTTGTTGCAGAAGTGCGTAAACTGGCTCCCGGAGTTTGATGGATGCTTTCAGCATTGGGATGAGTTGTACGGGAAATTTTGTCGGGGCGTTTGGGTCGGGAGGAGGAGTTTCATAAGAAGGGACAGGAAAATCGTGGAAATGGATGTTGGAAATGGCAAGAGGATCCCAACCTTGTACTCGGACCTTCGCCTGGCGGGTGTGAGTGGCCGTGCCAACGTAGTGAACGGGTATATTGTAGGAGGAGATGAGGCGGGAGAGATGGAGGAGCTGGTTGAGATGACCTTGTAAAAGAAGGGGAACCATAACCACAGTTACTTCATGTGTTTCTTCTTCTTGAATGCTACCAATTTGGTTTTGTGCAGTAGAATGACCAGTTTTGGGCATTGGCTGGATTTGGGATTTGGAAAGCTCTTTGTACTTTAGCTTGTCAGAATTGCTTTGCTCTTAGAAGTTGTAAGATGAAAGCTCTGCTAATACTGTAGGCTTCTACAACTCAAGAGAAGCTTCTACAACTCATCTTAATTGCAAGTGGACCCTCTGCTAATATTGTAGGCTTCCTAACCTTCCCAAGAACTCTTTCCATGATTGGTAATATTATTGCAAGTGGAACCTCTGTTAGCGGACAAAGTTGGAAAGTACTTGACCATCAAGATTGCTCTGTTGGCAAAATTTGACTTTGATCCAAGTACTCATCAGTTATTCGATCTGGGTTTCCATCATCCTTACAGTTACAGCAAGGAAGCAGCAAATTTGACTTTGATCCAAATACTCAAATTGTTGGATCTGTAGTAGGACCGACGCGCGGGTTTTACTGCAGTTACAGCAAGGAAACAGCAGAAGAATTGTACAGAAGATACGAGCATCGAGGACAAGGTGGAGGGTCGGTTGTTGTTGTCCCTTAAATTGTTATACTTCCTCTCTCCCATTTTAATAGTTCTAATTTTTTTTCATACAATTTAAAAAAAAATAATTAATTTTATTAAAAAAATAAATTTAAATTATTAATTTTCTAAAATACCCTTACATTATTGTTTCCTCAAGTGGAAGAACAACGGGGGCTACAACAACAATGAAAAAATAAAAACATTGAGAAAAAGTTGTTCAAACCATCATAAAGGAGAGAAGATTGAATTGTCCAAAACAATTTGTGGAATTGGAGTCCGATTATGATTCTAGTAACTATATTTTGGATGAAAGTTTTTTCAAATCTGATAAAGGGAAAAGCTATTTAAAATCTGATATTTTCCTTGAGAAGAGGAAAATTTAAGTCAGAGTTCTTCCATTGTTAAGTTTAGTATTTCAATTTTGAAGGATTATTATTACTTTACCCCCTTAGTGTTTGGTGTTACTATCAATTTTTCCCTTAACTTTGTTTTTTAGTCATTTTACCTACAAAATTAAAGATCAAACTTAATGAAATTTATTAATTCAAGTCATAAGACATGTTTATCTTTTAAAATCATTATTACTTTACTCTCATAAACTATATCTTTATTATTAATTTACCTCATAGAGTTATTTTTTAGATAATTTATCCCACCATTAGACCAACTTAACAAGTTAAAAAATTTTAGAAGAAAGTACTCTCTTTTTGTATAATAAAAACAATAAAAAAGTTAGAGTAGCCCTTCTCCTTTTTAGTATCAAGGAAAAGAAAGTCAAAATATTAATCTCTTTCTTCTTGACAATCTTATTAATATTGGAAAAATAGAATATTAGAGAGAGAGAGAGAGAGAGAGAGAGAGAGAGTAAAATACCTAGAAAATTATGTTAGAGAGTTAAGCGATTGTACTACTATAATTTAAAGGGATAAAGTGATAATAATGTAGTAATGTTATAAAATAAAAGAGAATTTTTGTCAAAAAATTGTTAACATATTAAGTTGAATTACCTATGGGGTGAAGTGACTAAAAAATAACGTTAGGGGGTAAATTAATGTAGTAATATATTTTATGGGGGTAAAGTGATAATAACCCAATTTTGAACCAAATAGTTGGAGGTGGGAAGATTATGGTGAGGGGTGGTAGATTAAAAAAAATGGAAAATTTAAGTCAAGTCTCGAGATTTTGTTACAGATCCAAAAACATATGGAACATATTGGGACGATTTATTTGTAATAGAATTTTGCCGAGTAAACTCTTCCATGTAAGCTTGACGAGTTAGTGTTAACGAATGTCCAGTTCTACACCCGCCAATCACTTCAAACTCTAATTACATTATCTTTACATTATCTATCATTAGGGACAATGAAAAAGGATAAGAGTATAAAGTCATATAGATCCAATTTAAACAAAAGATTCTGAAATCTAATTTTACACTTCTTTTATTCTCATTTGCGAAAATTAAAATCATGAAAATAAACTACCTATCATGAATACAGGCTAGTAATTCAAAATGTTGAATGAAAAGATAAGAAATATGTTCTTCACATCCTAAATTTTTGGCCCCAACAATTATTTTACATATCAATAACCTTATCTAGTAAATAAGCATTTTTCACTATTAAGAAACTTTATATAAATCAAAATATCAAAATATAATTATCTATCCATAAATTAAGAGACTCTAATTAATTTTAATTCAACAGGCCTCAACATTTCCTTCCTAATCATTGTTTTCCTTGGATCTTCATTTGTCATATTCTTTTTCCTCTGCTCTAGCACTATCACCCTATTATCAAATAACAATTTTAACAAATAAAAAATTAAAATTAAAATGAATACGTATAATGGAGTTATTATTTTATGGGGGGAAGTAGTTACAATTCTTTCATTTTAGCCTAAAGATTTTTCATGGAATCAATACCCGTCTTCTTGTCAGCCACAGGGAATTTTTTTTCCAAAAATAAAAAGGACACAGAATAAATAAAAATTTTAAAAAAAATGAAAAACCACATTTCTTTAGATTTAAGGGGAAAAGTATTTATAGCATCACATACAAACTTCAACTTGCCTTTGTTAGGGCGCAAAAGAAAGTCAGATAAAAGGAGGAAGTCGTAAGAAAAGGAATAAGCAAAGGTTTCTAATTAGGACACAAAAAAATGACAAAAAATAATAAATAGTATATACAAAGAGAGACGGTAAAAGTAGAAGATCATGAATCATGATTATTGGACTAAGAAAGAAAAGAAATATCAAACCCAATCTTGATCTCCTACAACTAAACCATTCATTTAGTTAATTATGGATAAAATTGAAAGAAAATGCATCAACTAATTCAATTGAGAAAAAAAGTAGAGTAAACGATTTGGATGAAGGGAAGAAAAGAAGAGCAGTACAGAGTGAAAACTAAATAAGGAATTTGCAGTGTAGATAAGAGTTCGTTTGGTTGTCCTTAGCAAAACAACAGAAAGGAAATAAGGTGAAAAAAAAGGAAGCAAAAGGAAGAAAAGAAAAGGAATGTGCCATGTGTCAAAATGAAGGGAGAGTCACTTGGCAACCATTGAACTTGCTACAATAGCTCCACTTTCTTCTTATATAACTAGGAGGTTTTCGGCTGTGCTTATAATCTGTTGTCATATATTTTTGTATAAGATAAGATTAATAGTAATGTTTGTGAAATAGCATTCTTAAAATCATAAATTACCAATCAAACATGTGGCTAACAATATAAGACTAAACAAAATCAGAAAACCATCAACATTGCAAAAGATAAAAGAAGATGACAAAAGATTGGCAAGTAGTTTTACAAATAGCTTCATATCTTCAAGTGTAAGTTAGTCTTACAGAGACGGGAGAAGACATGCTGAATACTTAATATAAAGTGCAATGATAAGCTGCAATTACAAAATATCAAATATTGAAATCCATTAAGTTGCACAAAAGAACAATTTCTTAATGGATGTCAATATTGTGTCAAAAGATGCAAGATTAGCAATTCAGCTATAAAGTGCTTCAAGATTAGCAAGATTAGCAATTCAAAAGGCTTCAAGCAAGTTTAGAGTTCGTTATTGTGCTGCTTCTTCAAGGGACTTCTTGGTGCAAGATTAGTTGGAGCGAAAGCTGAGAGTGCATTGGTGGGCAGTGAGGCAGGTGTAATAGCTTCAGCAGAATTTGATCCAATTTTAGGAGGTACAGTTCCAAAAGCCAAGGCTCTCTTTGCTGTGGTCACTAGAGGCTGCACTTTGTTTGTAGTAGTAGAAGTTTCAGCGATGGTATCAAGCAGTTTTTTGGTTGATGGATTGAAAAATTCATTTTTGTTAGCAGACTGTAGCACAGTAGCATGAAGGTCTCGAATTTTTTCATTCGTTTCTGTAGCCGTGATTGCCATTGGAATGTGAGCTGATTCCTCAGTAGTGTATACCTTGAAAATATTATACTTGCCTTCCTTCTAGCCTTGATAATCTGCCTCATAGTAGCGGATAAAACACACAATCGAATGTTTTCCGATTGCAGATGCTAGTTCAACAGAAAAGTTAAGCTCCTACAATTTTTTGTTTTAAAGTATATATAATTATCAAGTGTATCCTGAAATATTAGCTATTTGTTTGGAATTAGAAGTTTTTATTGTATATTTTGCTCCTATACACTTTGCTGATATATATGAGTAGGCCTATATAATATGCCAATATATATATGAGCTCTTTGTCTGTTTTAATAACATTTGACTACTACTAGTGTGAGAACCCGTATTTCCCTAATATTTTCCTAGGGTTTTAGTTCCTTTAATTGCGTAATTTTTGCATTTTCTGGTTTAGAAATATTTTCTGGATGGATTTTATGAGCAATTATGGTTTTGAGATGATTTTTCTAGCATTGGAGAATTTTTAAAAAATTAAGAATATATATTGGACGTGGGACCCACTAGTGCGAAAAGTTCGGAAAAATTCGGCCAATTAGGTTAAATTTCGGATACTGGTGGAAATTTATCGGGTGTTAAGAGATAAGTAGAGGGTGACATGGCATTGATGTGAGAGGAATCAAGTGATAGGAAGGCATTAAATGAAGTGCCAAGTGGCACTATGTGATTGGTCCACTTGTTGGACATTTTTGACTTTTCTTACCATGGATTAAATATCTCAAAAATTGACTAAAAAATTCACTCTTTCTTACCTCTTGTTGGCCGACTCTTGAGAGCTCAAGAAGGAAGAGAATTGCTTCAAATTTCAAGCTTCCATATAGCTCAATCTTCCAAACCACTTGCCTAACTTAGTTTCTATTCCATAAAAGCCTTCCATTAGGTGCTAGTGAGTTGCTTAGTGAAGTTTTTTGGAAGAGCTAAGGTGGTCTACAACTCCTCTTCTCTTGTTTACTAGGTAAGTGATGATTGAACATTCTTTTATAGCTAATGATGTTGAATTTATGCCTAATGGTGGCTATTGTGTTAGAAATTGTGGATTATTTCTTGGTTTGAAGTGATTTGGTTGAGTTTTTTATTTTTTGAGGAATTTTCTGGTTTCATATCATCTTGATGGTGTGGTTGTTTTTGATGGTTGGTAATAAGGGGCTTTGGCTCTAGTAGGTGCATATGATAGAAAATTGCAATCAATTTTGGATTTGGAAGAATTTCTGGAAAATTTGGGTTCTTGGTTGAACATTCTGTCTGAAATTTTAGGTCATAGATAGAGGCCGAATTGGACTTTACTCAAAACATGAAAGTTGTAGGTATTGATGAGTTTGAAGTGCCTGCAAAATTTCAGGGCATTTGGAGTAGTGTAGAGTGAGTTATGCCGTTTTTACTGTTGCTGTTCTGGGTGAACAGAATGTGCGAACTGCGATAGTAATTGTCTGTTTTGACTGGAATTGGTTTGGATTTTGTTGTTGGTGTCTTCTGATGAAATGTAGAGGGATGTCTTAGCTACCTTATGCCTTTGGAATCAATGCATTTGGACCTGTATAGACCGAATTATACTGATTACAGTTTTGTGTGATTTGTAAACCTGCAATT